TAAAACAGAATTTATAAAATCTCACTCTTGATGGGTTTATATGTGATTGGAATTCAAGAGGAAACTTGCACAAAGTTGTCTTTATGAAACTGGAAATTACTGGCTTTGCCTGAAGACTGCCAGGTAAATAGTGAGAGGATTTTCTGCATTCCAGCTTCTTTTCATATACCTGATAAGCCTCAGCCATTTCTTGTCAAATTAATTGTATTTGCTGGGAAGAATGAAATTTTACAGAAAATCCAAACTTCAAGAATAGGATAAAAACAACCTCATAATATTTTGCTAATTATGTCAAAAAACATTCAAGAACAAGTAAGATGTTCAACACGGCAACAAGTATTGTCCGAGAGAAGACGCTTCAATAATTTCATCAGAATTCTAGTCACCTTTGTTTTGATATTTGCAAATGGTCCTGATAAATCATTTCAGAATCATGAAGCTGAAAAATGTCTTACCTCTTGATGCTCCTGTTGAAGGAGAACCATTTAAAATGCAAGCTTCTAGTATGTTTCATGTATCCAGGATATCAAACTTCTTTATCTCTTGTTCTTGTTCTTAATTAAACTTTTGTTATCTCTATCTCTATCTCCATCTCTATGTCCTTGGCTACAGGGAAAGAGTAATAATTGCAGCTTCTTTTAAAATTCTTTGCTTTTTCCTTCATTTTTTTTCCTTTTCTAAATCTTTCCTTATTAGTGATACCTATATTTTTTCATGAAAATACAGTGATACTTAAATGTTTGTGAACATTTTTGAGTATTTCTGCCTAAATATGACCTGTTCTCCACACAAGTTCAAAAACTAGATAGAGAAAGCAATTAAACAAATGAGTAAATATTTTTTTGCTCATTTAATTACCATATTTTCCGGACTATAAGATGCTCCAAAGTATAAGACTAGCTTTTGGTGAGGAAAACAAGAAAAAAAAACCTGCCTCTGCCTTTTAGCAATTTGCCTCCTTGCAGCAAACAGCCTGGTCAGCTTCAGCACAGCCTGATTAGCACAAGCAGCTGATTGTCACTTAGATCGGCCTCCCGATGATCAGCTGTTTCAGACTGCAGGGATCGCCATCGCCTATTGCCGCCTTCGTGCGCCTCATTTCAGCCTCTGCATCCCATTTTCAGCCTCTGTGTGCCCCGTTTTTAGCCTCTGCGCACCCATTCCATTTTCAGCCCATTCCAGACGGCGGGGATTGGAATGGGCCAAAAACGAGGCACGCGGAGGCCAAAAATGGAGCGTGTGGAAGCTGAAAATGGAATGTGGAGGTTGAAATGGGGCACACGGAGGCAGCAATAAGCGATGGCGATCCCTGCAGCCTGAAACAGCTGATCATTGGGAGGCCTATCCAACTGACAATCAGCTGCTTGTGCTAATCAGACTGTGCTGAAGCTGTTTTCTGCAAGGAGACAAATTGCTGGGAGGCAGAGGCTGAAAGGTAGGGGGCGGTGAGTGGGTGGGGCTTTCGCAACATTTGCTGTATAATATGCACAGACATTTCCATCCACTTTTTGGGGGAGGGAGGAGTGCATCTTATACACCGAAAAATGCAAATGATCCAAAGCTACAAATTGGTATGTAGCAAAAGTATGTCAATTAGAGTCAGATAGTTCAATCAATAGGATGGTAATCAGGAGTGAGTGTGAGATATTCTGCCTTATTTAAGGAACATAATTCTAAAACTTTACTGTCAAACTTGATCTTTACCAAACATGTTTGTGAAAGGATGTTATGGATTGAACAAAGAAAATTTCTGAGGAACTCCGAAAGAGTTACTGATGCTCACCATGCTGGAAAAGATTATAAAACTATTTCCAATGAGTTTAGTCTTTACCAGTCCTTTGTTAGGCAGATTGAGTAACAAATGGAGACAATTGAACACCATTGTTGTCCTCTTCAGGAGTCATCAATCAAATAAGGTCACACCAACAGTGAGATATGTAATATTTCAAGAGATCTCAAAGAACCCCAGGATAATGTCTAAGGAACTAAAGAACTAAACTGTGTTGGTGAATGACATTGTTCACGAGATGTAAGAGGAAAGCTATATTCTCCAAAAAGAACATTGCTGCCAATCTACAGACTGTGTGCCAAAGACCACATAGATAAGCAAGAAGACTACTAAAATAATGTTCTGTGGGTAGATGAAACCACCTTTTGGCTTAATGAAATGTGTCCTATTTGTTGAAAAGCAAAAGTGCATTCCAGTATAAAGAACCTTATTCAATTTATTTAGCCTGCTTTATTGCTTCTGGACCAGGATGGCTTGCCATCGTTGTCAGGTGATCTGTCCATGAACTGCAGCTTGAGAAAGTGGATCATACAGCAAGATACAACTCAAAACACACATGAATAATCTAAGAATGGTCCTTCAGAAGTTGATTTTAGGGGAAGTCCTGACTTTAATCCTAGAGAAATGTTGTGGGAGAGCCCAAAACAAGTAGTTAATACAAGGAAACCCACCAACAACCTTGAGTTGCAATTGTTATGTAAGGAGGAAAGGGCTAAAATTCCTCCAAGATTTTGTGCAGGGCTGATCAACAATCACTGGAAACATGTAGTTGTGCTTACTGCTGAAGGGGAAGGGACACCAGGAACTGAAAACAATTTTTGCCATACACAAATCTATAGGTTTAGATCATTTTCCTCAATGTTTTTTATTCATTTATTTAACTGTGTTCATTTTATTTTAGGTCATTTTTATGCATTCAAAACATTCAAAAGGGTTTGCAAACTTTTAAGTGCCATTGTAGAACTTTCTGTTCCCTTTAGATCATGTAACACTGTATTAATATTATCAATCAATGATTAAATTATTAATTTCTGTAGAAAATAGCAGCGTATGTTGTACAATGCTTAACTACCACAAGGTGTGATTAAAAGCTTTTATTTTTAATTTTACCACTAAATGTTTTATAATTTTATTTTTATCATTTTGGGAAAAGTATTTTGGGCTATAGAGTTCATTTATATAATATGCATTTAAAAAGCATATATTATATCTAATATAGCCTCTTTAGTAATATGGAATATTAAGTAAAGCTAGTCCTTGACTTACAACTTTTTGTCTGGTGACCATTCAAAGTAACAACAGCATTGAAAAAAGTTACATGACAGGTTTTCACATTTATAACAATTGTAATCATTGTCATGTGATCAAAATTCAGGAACTTGGCAACTGGTATGTATTTATGGCAGTTGCATTGTGCTCGGTTATGTATTTTTAACCTTCCTAGATAGCTTCTGACAAGCAAAGTCAACAGAGGAAACCAGATTCATTTAACAGCTCCAGTGATCTGCTTAACAACTGTGGCAAAAATGTCATTAAATGAGACACAATTCATATAACAACTGCCTTGCTTGTCAATGCAAATTTTGGGCTCAACTGTGATTGTAAGTTGAGGACAATCTGTATCATTCAAATTTTAAAAGATGGGAACTGAATTTGAGATGTTTTCCATGAGACCCATATTTTCTCTAAAGAAAAATAACTTTTATAAGAGACTTGGGGGAGAGGGATGTATATAAATGGCGATTAAACATACAAAAGTTATCTTTTAACAAAGAGGCACTACTCTGAAGGAATAAGTCTATGACTTGGAATTCTTCTGAACTCTTTAGGTTCTGCTGGAGGGATGGTATCCTGATTGCAGCCTTATGTGGTGAAACTGCAGCCCTCATTGCCATCTGGTTAGACAGTTCTGCAAAGGGCTCTATAAAGCTCTTTATAGATTTCTGCCCTTAAAAGTTACAGTTTGTCCAGGATGAACTGGCCTGTGTGCCGATACCCAGTGTGGGGTCATATTACACATGTGCTTCTAGCTCTGCACTAGCTCCCACTTGCCTTCTAGGTACAATTTAAAATGCTGATTTCGAGCCATAAAGTTCTTGTGGCTTAGCAACTGGGACCAACTACTCAAGGTAGAACTGGCCTAGTGGTCATTTTGGGAAATTTTTCTTAAAGCCATTTCGGGAAGTAAAGGCAGCTACGATTTAAAGCAATCTTCTCAATAGCAGCCGCTGTCCTTTGAAATAACTACCACAAGAAATTAAATTGATCTCTTTGACTGCATTCAGAAAGATGATTAAAATACAAATAGTTTCCTATAACATTCTATCTTTCATTCATTAGAGGCAATCTTTTTAATCATATGATTTCATTTAATTGCTTTTAATTTGTATCATAGATTTTTTTCAATGTTGTTTTCTATTATATACGCTGCTAAGAACTTGTTCTGATTGGAGTAGGATATCAATTTTATAGATAAATAATTTCTATTTAAAAGTATTGCTCAAAACATTTAATATTATCCAATCAATAAAATTACATCTTCAAGATCCAGCCTGCACATTCTAAAATATTTGCATGTCAGCATATTACTTCTAAATGTTATATCATTTGTAATGTTATTTATATCTTTCATGATAAGATGCAGGACAAGGCTATGTATTTATGCATGCGCATGAATGAATGCATACATTTCCCAAACAGCACACATAATTTTGTAGTATGGATTACAGGATCATGAAGCTGCTTTAAGCAGAAAATATACGAAGCTAAGCTCAGACAGAATTTAATTTTGGGTCAATTTGTCTTTGAATGTTTTAATTATTGTTCTATGACAGAAAATAAAGTACTCCAATGGGGGCTGAAACATATCTGCATTTATATATTACAGTGCTTACTAAGCAATATACTACTCAGATGAGATTTTCTTAATGATGAAAATTGCCAAACAATCATTTCCATTCTGGATATGTAGTCATACATTGTATGAAACATGCCTGCATATATTTTAGTTTATTACTATCCTAAACATTTGAAAGCCATTAGTAAATCACAAATACTTCATTTGCTAGAACTGTTGCCAACAAGGATATGATAACATTGCTGACATTGTTGCCAACAAGCATATGTGATTTATAGCCAATTATATATTAGATATTTAAGGTAATATGCTATAAATAATACAGAAGTCATTTACTAGTGAATACTGACTTACCTTCAATCTTTTTTAAAGCTGACAGGCAAGTATCCCGGCTTGGAAACTCAAAGGGATTACTACAGGTCCTAATAGTATCACATTCGCATTTTCCATTGATTATATTGCAGCCTGTTATGAGGTTTTCATTGCAAGGCTCAAATCCAAGTAGCTGATCATCCCAGTTTTCATCTAAAAACCAAAATGAAACAACTATAATACTGGTAACTTATTGATTTGTTTTATTTAATTCTTTTTTTGCCAAATACTGTACCGAAGCATCTCAATACAAATATTAAACTCATTTTTAAAGCTCCTGTTACAAGATTCTATAACTGCGGCTTATCTCCAGTTCACATTATTATCATTACACTACATTTAAAAAGAAATGTGAACTTGGACTTTTCCAATTAACATCGAAATTTGAGAACCCTGGGTGTCTTGTTTAAAGAATACATTCCTAGCTCTTGTAACAGAATAGAAAACACAAAAATCCAAAACATTCTGGGGACTACTGTTTTGTAAAGTATAGCAATCAAGTCATCTCAACTGAACAAGAAGTTGCTATCATTCCAGATGTTTGATAATCCCATCTGATAGAGTCCCTGTGAAAGAGGTCTAGATGGTTTTAACAGAGCTGTTTTCAAAACAATTCTATCATTTCAATCAACCTATGATGTAATAAACCAATAGTCATTCTCTGACATTCTGCCCTCCAGGGAAATTAAGATAATAAATAATAAATAGATAATACATTTGAATCTGCCACCTCAGTTACGGATCCTGAAGCAATATTAACTGTTCACTCACTTGAATTCCTCATCTAGTGTTGATATAATTTTTTCCAGTGATCCCTCAAATCAGAGATGAAAAGAAATCTTACATGCAGTATGGAGTTACTATTACAAAAGGCATCTCTATCAGGATTAGAAGCCACCATAACACTCATTAAAACTAGTTACACTATCTCAACTCTACACATACAAGAATGTGATATAGAAAAGCAACCCTAAGTAGCTCATAATCTGTAGATCTGATCCTTGTTTAACTATCACGATTGGGACTGGCAACTTGGTCATAAAGTAAAGACGTCTTACTTTAATGTTAATTTGCTTTTACAGACTTGCAAAGTTCTTAAATGCGAGGACTGATTGCAAAGTCACTTTTTCATTACCATTTTATTATTTATTAATTTATTAATTTAATTTATTCATTTATTTGATTTATATTGCCGCCTATTCGCCCATGGTGACTCAAGGAGGCTTACATAATGTAAAATCATATTTAAAACAAAAACTAAAAATAAAAACAATAAGAACTAACAAAAAGAATAAAATAAATTAGTAAAGTACAATAGAACAAAATTTGGGAAAACAAAAAAACAAAACAAAACAAAAACCAACTCCCCCCCCCACCCCGACAGAGGGTCACACTAGCCATCTGATGGGTTCCATCCCTCTCTGGGTTCCCTAGGCCCATTGGCAAAACCAGGTCTTCAGTGCCTTTCGGAATAGTATTAATGAGGGGGCCATTCTAATCTCTGGGGGAACGATGTTCCAGAGAGATGGAGCCACCACAGAGAAGGCCCTTCTTCTTGGTCCCACCAGGTGTATCTCCCTTAGGAGTGGGACCAGCAGCATTCCCTGCCTCCTCACTCTAATGGGTCGGATGTCACTGGCAAGAGATGTTTCCTCAGATAACCTGTACCCAAGCCATGAAGGGCTTTAAAGGTGACAACTAGCACCTTGAATTGCACCCGGAAACAAATTGGCAGCCAATGCAGCTCCTGCAGGAGATGTGATACATGTGCACATCGGAGTCTGCATATAACCATGCGGGCCGCTGCATTTTGCACCAACTGGAGCTTCCAGATGCTCTTCAAGGGCAGCCCCATGTAGAGCGCGTTGCAATAATCAAGATGGGAAGTGATCAGGGCATGAGTGACTGTGAGTAGGGACTGCTGATCCAGGAAAGGTGTAACTGGTGCACAATCCGCAGTTGCACAAAGGCCCTTGTAGCCACGACTGCCACCTGTTCTTCGAACAAGACTCGTGAGTCCAGCAGAACCCCCAGATTACGCACAGGGTCTGTTTGGGGTAGTGCCACCTCATACAAGACTAAAGGTGGCAATTCTTCCTGAACCAACGAATCCCAGACCCAGAGCCACTCGGTTTTGCATGGGTTTAGTTTCAACCTGTTGCTCCCCATCCAGCCCCTAACAGCCTCCAGGCATTGCAAAAGGGAGGACACAGTAACACTTAACTCACCACGGGCCGAGATATACAGCTGGTGACGGATTATCTCACCCAGCAGTTTCATATAAATGTTGAACAGGAGCGGAGAGAGTACCGAGCCCTGCAGAGCCCCGTAAAGCAGTGGGCGAGGGTTGGATTTCTCACCTCCTATCAACACTGACTGAGAGCGGCCGCAGAGGAAGGAAGTGAACCAAGACATCACAAGGCCTCCCACTCCCATCCCCTGAAGCCGTCCCAGGAGAATCCCATGGTCAATGGTATCAAAAGCCGCTGAGAGGTCAAGTAGAGCAAGGATGGATGCACTACCCCCATCCCACTCCCGCCAGAGATCATCCAAAAGTGCAACCAATGCTGTTTCTGTCCCAAATCCAGGCCTGAATCCTGATTGGTAGGGGTCGAGATAATCTGTTTCATCTAGAAACCTCTGGAGCTGCTGCACGGCCACCTTCTCAACAACCTTCCCCCAAAAGGGAAAATTGGAGACAGGTCAGAAATTATCCAATCAGGTGGAGTCCAGCGATGCCTTCTTAAGAAGAGGGTGGACCACAGCCTCCTTAAAGTGCTGGGGCACCGTCCCCTCCTGTAGAGAAGCATTAATCACTCCCAGAGTCCACCCGCCTGTCACCTCCTGGGAAGCTTTCACAAGCCAGGAGGGACATGTGTCTAAAATGCAGGTGCTCGCACACATACTCCCTAGGATCCTGTCCACTTCCTCAGGAGCAACAGGGTCAAACTGTTCCCAGATAACAGGGCAAGAACCTGCCACAGAAGCTTCCACCGGATCAGCAACCGCGCCAGCATCTAACTGGGAATGAAGTCAAGTGATTTTGTCTTCCAGAAAATCCGCAAATTCCTCAGCGTGCCCCTTCAGGTGGACCTCTATCTCCTCCTTCCCTAAGAGGAGATGGCTCACTTTAAAGAGGGTTGCTGGGCGATTATCTGCGGACGCAATTAGTGTGGAGAAGTATTTACACTTCGCCTCACGAATCGCCATAAGGTAGGCCTCAGTAGCAGCTCTTACCCGTGTTCGATCGAGTTCATCTCCTGTCTTCCGCCAGTGGCTCTCTAGATGTCTCCTCATGTGTTTCATCCCCTCTGTATACCACGGGGCACAGAGAGGTCTATGGGTGAAGAGAGGTCGCAAGGGTGCAATCCTATCCAGAGCCTCAGTCACCTTCCTATTCCAAACAGTGACTAAGAACTCGGCTGGACTGCATAATACACTGCTCAAAAAAATAAAGGGAACACAAAAATAATACATCCTAGATCTGAATGAAATATTCTTATTAAATACTTTGTTCATTACATAGTTGAATGTGCTGACAACAAAATCGCACAAAAATTATCAATGGAAATCAAATTTAGCAACCCATGGAGGTCTGGATTTGGAGTTACACTCAAAATTAAAGTGGAAAGAAACACTACAGGCTGATCCAACTTTGATGTAATGTCCTTAAAACAAGTCAAAATGAGACTCAGTAGTGTGTGTGGCCTCAGTAGTGTGTGTGCCTGGGCATGCTCCTGATGAGGTGGCGGATGGTCTCCTGAGGCATCTCCTCCCACACCTGAACTAAAGCATCCCCCAACTCCTGGACAGTTTGTGGTGCAACGTGGCGTTGGTGGATGGAGCGAGACATGATGTCCCAGATGTGCTCAATTGGATTCAGGTCTGGGGAACAGGCGGGCCAGTCCATAGCATCAATGCCTTCATCTTGCAGGAACTGCTGACATACTCCAGCCACATAAGGTCGAGCATTGTCTTGCATTAGGAGGAACCTAGGGCCAACCGTACCAGCATATGGTCTCAGAAGAGGTCTGAGGATCTCATCTCGGTACCTAATGGCAGTCAGGCTACCTCTGGTGAGCACATGGAGGGTTGTGTGGCCCCTAAAGAAATGTCACCCCACACCATTATTGACCCACTGCCAAACCGGTCAGGCTGGAGGATGTTGCAGGCAGCAGAACGTTCTCCACGGCATCTCCAGACCCTATCATATCTGTCACATGTGCTCAGTGTGAACCTGCTTTCATCTGTGAAGAGCACAGGGCGCCAATAGCGAATTTGCCAATCTTGGTGTTCTCTGGCAAATGCCAAATGTCCTGCACAGTGTTGGACAGTAAGCACAACCCCCAACTGTGGACGTTGGGCCCTCATACCACCCTCATGGAGTCTGTTTCTGACCATTTGACCATTTGAGACCACATTTGTGGCCCCCTGGAGGTCATTTTGCAGGGCTCTGGCAGTGCTACTCTCCTTGCACAAAGGTGGAGGTCCTGATGCTGGGTTGTTGCCCTCCTACGGCCTCCTCCACATCTCCTGATGTACTGGCCTGTCTCCTGGTAGCGCCTCCATGCTCTGGACACTATGCTGACAGACACAGCAAACCTTCTTGCCACAGCTCGCATTGATGTGCCATCCTGGATGAGCTGCGCTACCTGAGCCACTTGTGTGGGTCGTAGACTCCCTCTCATGCTATCACTAGAGTGAAAGCACCGCCAGCATTCAGAAGTGACCAAACCATCATCCAGAAAGCATAGGAACTGAGAAGTGGTCCGTGGTCACCACCTGCAGAACCACTCCTTTATTGGGATGTCTTGCTAACTGCCTATGCTTTCCACCTGTTGTCTATTCCATTTGCACAACAGCATGTGAAATTGATTGTCAATCAGTGTTGCTACCTAAGTGGACAGTTTGATTTCACAGAAGTGTGATTGACTTGGAGTTACATTGTGTTGTTTAAATGTTCCCTTTATTTTTTTGAGCAGTGTAGATCTGTAGTTATAACCCCCAGTTCCTTCTGGAACCTATCTGGGTCCATTAGTCGATGGGGACGGACCAATCTAATAGGTCCTGCCTCCCTGCGGGGGGATGCAGCTTTTGAGAAACTCATTGCCACCAGACTGATCTGACCATGACAAGGGGACCAAGGAGAGGTC